TATCTTGGATAACCCTATTTATGGCAAAAATTGAACATATTGTTTTAGTTGGGACATCAGTAAAATTAAATTGACGGTAGAATACTTTAAAACAGAATTTGTCGTTTTCCAGTTTTCAACATTATATATGAATAAATTATTCACAACTTTTACTCTTTTTTCTGGAATACTATAAATGTTGTCACGACCACTCAAATGTGTTTAACCAAATAATTTACTAATATCATTTTCATGCAATTTTATAGGAGCACAAATGTTTTCAGTAGAATTACCGGTAGTCGATATTGCCCTGGCGTGTTTGCCTACATGCCTACAACTTCACCACTTCTCTGGATCGCTAGACGCTGCTTCAGGATACTTTTGTCAGCACCGGTCTGCTGATAGAGAGAGGAGACCGTGACTGTGCGTTGGTTTACTCGACAGAAACGTTTAAAACCACTGCATTTTTTCTGTAAAAAAAGTGCTGCCCAACGCGGCACAACAGAAGACAAAACATAACCAGGATGTACCCATGAAGTGAAACAGCACTTTTTGTCGCGAAAAGGACCCAGAAAGTTGCCAATTTGCGGCAAAGTAGCCCACAACAGAAACCCTGCCATACCAACTGGTTATCACTTTACTTAAATTATATTTAGGACTGATTGTCTCAAGGCCCTTAAAATCAAAAGGGTTTCTTGCAATTCTGCGGTCTAATGTTGATTAGGCGTGACTGTAAGAGTGCAAAGTTTTTTTACGAACACTTGATTTTGCCATTTTAGGAAAAGGTAATACGCCAGCGATGAATTCAAGAACGGCAGAGGATTACTGTTTCTAAAGAAATTATTTCATCTTGTCATAGATTAGTAAATTTTCGTGTTTAGGAAGGTGTTTTGCGATTTTTTAAATTTAGCATTCTTAGCAGCCCACTTCAATAGTTAGAGCGAGGAGGTGATAAAAAATTTGTGCGCCTATTCTAGGGTACATTTTTTGGCCGTGTTTTTTAGCAGCCCTGCTATATACAACCAAGAATGAACAAACTGGCCATAAGAAGAATTGAGCCTTTCAGTCTACAACCATCTTGAAGAATTTATGATGTCCAACAAGACCGACATACATTAGGTTTTGGCTAGTGCAATAAAGTGTACTTACAAGTGTGCTATAGTTTCAGGAACAATACTGTAATGAACAGATTGTAAAATTAAGACCTATCATAAAATAATAAATATTTCATGGTCCAGCTTTGAAATACATATAAGCAGAGGGTACAAAGCACTTAAACACCATGAACCATTGCCACTGCTAATAAATTGGTGATTTATCTTATTTTCAAACTGTTTGCACCCTCTATCATTTCAAAGAATAATATGACGAAAACAACCAGCCCAGAGAATCCCGTAGGCATTTACCGTGGGCACGAACCCATTCCCCATTTCAGGAGTTGATGGTTGCATTTTTATTTTTAAACAAGACACAGGAGAAATCCCCTACTGCCACTACCTTGGAGGTCAAGACCCAAAGCCTTTTATACAGGCTTACCAGTGATAGCTCGTGAGTGCGAGCCGTTGGTTTTTTTAAGAGCTCGCTACCAAGCGCTGCCTGCAAAGGTGTTGCAAGGTGAGAGAGGGAGAAGCGTAGGAGAAAATAGAGCGGAAAGGGGATATGCGATTGGACGTTAACACCAGGGATTGCAGGAGAAGAAGGGGTGGGGGGCACCAAGCGTATGCTAGAAGACGCTGTCTGCGTTGCGTTGTGAAGCAAAAAATAGGAAGCGTAGGAGAGGAGAGAGGGTGAGGGTTGACTATGAGTGGCTTCGCATTTAAAAAGTCAGTTTTGATTTTGACACACATTGTGGAGGACGACTCCACAAAATTTCGATGGGCTGGAGCTCTTGAACGTGTACCCACTGTTACGAAGGCGAGACGCCAACACGGTCCCGAAGGCGCCACTGCTTCAAACTCTGCCGACACGGTCACCAGCCGTTTTATAGCGTCTGTTACTCAGCTCGCGACTGCTTCTGCGCAGAGCTGATAGACGAGTGGACGAGACGACGATGGGTTAAGGCAAGGTTTATGGACAGCATAAAAATAGAGGCATTACGAATTCGGCACTGGGGCCGACATTTTAGGGACTCGAAGAGCCGAGATGTCTTCTCTCGAGATTTCCCTCTCTTTTTTTATCAATGCGAAAGATTTTTAGGGACTTCGGTGACTTTCAGCGTATCTATCTATCTATCTATTTATCTATCTATCTATCTATCTTATTTATTTATGAATACTGCAACCCTCAAATAGTGTTTTAGCAGAGTGGATGCACAATTTTAACTTTACAAATTGGCAAACAGAATAAAAATAAAACGAGTAAAATACGTAAGGCTTCAGAAGATAGAAAAAAAGGCAATAAAGACGAACATTCGCAGTAAGCAGGCATAAAGCCATATAATAAAATCAAATAAGAGCTGCAATCAAGTTGAGCACTAGCATAGAAAGGAAATACTAGAGTTGTCATGTATTAAAGTTGACACGCTCAACTCTGGAGCTGTGTAGCAAGAGTATTCAAGGATCTATCTATCTATCTATCTATCTATCTATCTATCCAGCCACCTATGACTTTTAGCTCTCCTGGCCGTTTCGATAATGGTATAGATACCAAAATGGGTATAGCATAACATGACTGACGAGCATAAGTGACTAGTCATAACAAGAAAATCATGACATGTTTATCATGATTGTCAAGATTTTCATTTCATTGTCTTGCTGCTCTTCCAGTCGTTTCGTTCACATGACACGTTGCAGAGCTGGTATGGTGTGACATGACTGCGTTGCGAACACAAGCGACAGGCCCTAACATGAAAATTGTGATATGCATGTCACATAACAACATGACTACATGCCAAACTCATGATACGCTCGCGGCTGTTTCAATAGCTTCATATATGATAAATTTTGTATGACGTCACTTGAATGGGTTATCTAGTTATGTGACTAGTGGAAACGTAATAATTATGAGATGCCTGTTATGTTAAACATGACTACACACCAATAGGCTACGACATGACCCAGAGCGCGAGTGCGCCGGTGTTCGTTTCGTTGCGTCACACCGGCGATGCCACCCCAGGCGCCAATCTTCCCGCCATATACTGGCAGGCGCGCACCGCGCTGCGTTGCTTTGACGCATGCGCACTTGAGCACGCCCGGTGTCCCTTCATCGCGATTAAGGCAGAGCCAGTGCTGTACGAGTAAGGTTGTCGGCGCGAAAGGCACCATGCCTCGTTTCGCACCAGTTGCCGCCGGGCTGCGCTAATTGTGTCTGCCATCAGACTACGGAGTGCTCACGTTTTAACGTGATAGCGTTAGAGAGCTCGTGTTGTAGAAATCCCGCTGTCAGCGTCGCCCCCGTTGGTTTTGAGGGAAAAATTGTCCGTGCGTCTGTGACCGAAAATTGAAGTTACTCAGATGACCTCGGGAGGCCGCTACTTGCCCACGCGTGTTCGCGTGATCACACTGATATTGCCGCGTATTCAAAGAAAAAAAAAAGTGCTCAAGGCCACAAGGCTCGGTAGTTTCTTTGCCTCTGCCACCTTTCCCTGCTTAGCTTCCATCGGTTTTGTCGGGACTAGAAAAGAGATAATGCAATTGCAGCATACGACTGACCTTGGTAGTTCCACCTGCACTGGACGGATTCTTAAAAATTTTGCTGTGTTGAATTCGTGAGACAATAAGCTCGTCTAGTGAATTCATTCCATGGTTATTTGAAAAAGTGTTTCAGGGCCTCTTGAACGCATTTAGTTGGTTAGGTGTCACGACGAAAACAAGCCCTTTCGGTGATTTTATGCGCACTTGGCAAGCTTCAATCTACGCTGAAAAGGGCCGGGATAGTGCAGCCATCGCCGCTAAAAATACACAGAAACGTTTAAACAGCTCTACAAATAGGGAGCTATGTCCATCTAGCGGAAAACATATCATGCCTTTCTAGAGCCGTAAGGAGGAAGAGGAATAAACTTTATTATTTAGAAAGCGGAAGGGAAATGGGGGAAAGCAAGTTTGACGGGAGGCTAGGTTGGGGCCCGCATACGAAAGGGCGCCCTGGTACGATCTACTGTGTGCGTGTGTGTGTGTGTGTGCGTGCGTGTGTGTGTATGGAACACATCATAATAATAAGTATGCACTTAGTGGTTGAAGGGCACACTAGGGGCCAGATTTCGCTATCGCGTTCAACTCTTAAAGATGAAGCTTAAGGGTACCCCGATTTTTCGCTCTCATGTATGAATGCGTGTCTTGTATGAACATGAGAACATACCACGCTTATCATGCTCTCAGGGCCCCTTCGCTTGCTTCCCATATACCAAATTCGGTATCACGTGACGTGAATAGACGACGAAAGTAAATGCCACGTCTAAATATCACAACTTTGATACGAATGTAGCGGCCGTTTCACTAGTTCCACAGATAATAAATTTGGTATTACGTGACGTGAATAGGCTACGAAGGTATATGAAACGTCCAAACATGATAATCATGGTATGCTTGTCGCGGCCGTTTCACTAGTTCCACAGATATTGACTTCGGTGTTACATGACGTGAATGGACGCTGATAATAAATGTCAGGCCCAAAACTAATAATTATGACATGCATGTCATGTAGAACTCGACTGCATGGTATACGCTCATATCACACCCATGGCCGTTTCGCTAGCTCCAGATATACCAAATTTTGTGTCACGTGACATTAATAGATGAAGAAGGTAAACGACATGTTCAAACATAATAATCATGAAATTAAAACCCTGTAAGGCATAATTCACCTCCACCTCGTAACGTTGTGCTCATTTTAAAGTGACATATCAACCTTCCTACTTCGTGCTTCGCATATCATTGATTCCCACTGTACGTGAAACCAACCAATTTTTTTCGATATCTTTTATTTTGTATTTGTTTGTTCACGCATGACTTACTGCATTCTACATCAAAGAACTCACACGCACACGTTCAGGGAAGCGAAGTATGATATGAAGAAAGCGTGAATGGTCGAGCACCTATTTTTAATCATGAGAAAGGTATTTTTTTGGTGCGTGCAGCTGCATATCTAGCAGAATGAGTACTTAAAAAAGAACATTCCTACCTTTCTTTATTCTCATTTCTCTGTCTTTAAAAAAGGAAAATGAGTACATTTTTAAATCAGCAAATAAATTCGGAGTAATTTCAGTGTAAAGATACTGACAGTCGTGTCCTGTCAGCATAGCAGTGAAGGGTTCGCTCAGATCCTTTAGGGGTATCTGTCAGCCACGTCAACTTGAGACAAATACAATCGTCCTGCACCCACGATTCTTCCGTCATCATCAGCAATTCGAGGACCTCTGTACTTTTTATAAGCTGCAAATAACAAGGAGATAATCTTACTAAAAACAAAGTGAGAAAAAATATTACTGTGTTAGCCTGTCCTAACTACAACTTGTCTTTATTTCTTTCTTCCTGTCTTCCTTTCTATATTTCTTTCTACCATGGTGTAAATTGCTCCAACGTAACGCATTCTTACGACATGGTAGGCCTATAACCATATTCGACGTGCCCAATGAAGCACAGCAATGTCAGCAAGAGAATATTCACATATCCGTTTTTGACATAGTATCTTTTTGTGTGTCACAGGGAGTGATACATCTTGCTAACCCCTTTATTCCTTTGTGCAGGGAATCGCATAATCAACAACGCGCTAAGCAGCGCTACACTTCTGTTGCTACATTCACCAGAAGTGCTCCGGCACCCGTAATCCAACCACAGTGAAATTTACCGTCGGTAATTGACAAGTCACCTTGATCGAGTATAAAGTGCGTATCATATATCAAAAGCGGCTGTTCGCTATCTCTAGGTAGAAGGATCATCAATCAATAAAGAGGGCTCAGACTAATACAAAAGACGCCAGCGTTGCCTAAAGGGCTGAATTTCGGTACACTTCTCTTTGCCGGGTGTTCCCCGTACAGCACCGCCGCCACAAATATGTCCAACTGATAACAAACCTCACTCGAAAGCAGGTGCAACACATGTAAACATTGCATTTACCTAGCAATAAAGTTGATTTAGACTCAGAATCGTTAAATATGCATTATGTACATGGATGGCCACAGTTGTACGCCTAATATTACGTAAGAAGCTCCAATATATGATTATTGGTCCTCTTTTGGTTGTTGATACTTTAAAATAACTTGGCTATTTTTACGCTTGACTCTTTTCTCTGGAATTCCGGCAATATGCAACTTGTTTGTTATGTTGAATTCCAATGGCAGGTCACAAGCGCTGAGCGGGATTGCGAACGGAGCACGCAGATCCGAGCGGGATTGCTCTCGCCAAATCTGCAATTGGAACACGTGCGTCTCGATGGGAGCTGTTGGTGAGCGAAAATATAGCGAGGCAGCACGAGAGGGTGTGAGAGAGTGAAAAATATTTTCCGGACATCTATCAGTTAGATGAAAGGCTGGCTCATGGAATACGTCACCTGAACTCCCCGGTCAAATTCACTGATTTCAACGGAGCAAAAATATATCTCCACGGAGCAATCTATGATCTGCGGTTGCTCACAATGTGCACTTGGAACACGCAATTATCGCTCCCAATCCGCCATTTGAATGTGATTGCTTCGCTCAGAGCAGAGAAACTTGATTTGGATCTGTCATTGGAATTCAACATTAGAGAGTGCTGTAAAGAACGTCGATCGTGTTGTTGCGGACATCACTGTGTATACTGAGCTAACCGCAAGTAAGTGAAATCAAACGCCATGAGCCGTTCGCTCGAACTCTGAGAGCGCACTGCACGCGTTTAGAATACTCACAACAAAACGCGATAACGTAATTCTCTCGTACATCTGCGTCAAACGATATCCCAACAGCGGCAAGCCGTTGCTATGGTATAGTGCGCGCCGTTCACTTATCACCACGGAAAGGCGTGCATATATGCGCAGAGCTGCCGAACAGGATGCCAGCACCTGTCAACGGTGATAAGTGGATGACACGCGCTACACCGTCGTGAAGGCTTTCCGCTGTTCAGATTTTTTAGACGATAATGGTGAAGCGAATGAATGGAGGGATTACTTAGATAGCCGCGTCATGTCACGAAGGACCTGGCCGTCACGTTGCTACAGAACACTGTTGTGAATATACTCTAGGCTTCCAGTAGTAACGTTCACTCTCATGTAAGATTTAAAAGCAAGATTGCACACATAACATGACACATCTAGGTGCTATAATAAAGAACTGAGACAGTCAGAACTGTTATTTCAGACGAGGTAGGAGCTTAGGCCTAGCCAGCGAAAGCAGCGACAATGTCCGGGGCGAGCGTCTCGTGCTTAGCACTGACAATGTGTTTTCCGAGCTATGCATGACCCACTCCTTCAATAAATAATTCCCCCTCGCTGAAGACGGAGCCAAGTAGGTGTTCTAAGGTATCGTGAGGACACGTGGTTCGTGATACGGTTTGAGACGATCCACGTGCACGATTTCGCGGCCTCGGCGACGCAGGTCCGGAGTGGGCGTGAGGGGTTCGATGAGGTAGTTGACAGCGGAAATTTGCTGTATGACGCCATAACGCCCGTAGTACCTGCTGACAAACTTTCTAGAGGTACCAGGAGCAGCAGTGGGAGGCATCCACAGCCAAGCAAGAGAGTTGGGTGAAAACTGGTAGCGGTACCGTCCATCGTCGTGACGAAATTTCTGTGGCCTTTGCTCTTGTGTTGTAAGGGTGCGAGCTAATTGCCGACATTTTTTCTGCATACCGAGCGGCCTCGGAAACTGGTTCGCCTTCGGATGAGTCGAGTCGGTAGGGGAGAATGATGTCAATTAAAGATGATGGCTCTCGACCATAGAGTAAAAAGAAGAGAGAAAAGCCGGTCGTGGCTTGAGGCGCTTTGTTGTAAGCGTACGTTACGTAGGGAAGGATAAGATTCTAGTTGGTGTAGTCGGAGGCGACATACATAGAAAGCATGTCGCCAAGAGTGCGGTTGAAACGTTCGGTCAAGCCGTTCGTTTGTGGACGATATGCGGTAGTACAGCGGTGAACCACATGGCCTTCAGCAAGAAGTTCTTGAATTACATACGCGAGAAAGACAAGGCCTCGGTCGCTCAAATGCTCACGCGGAGTGCCATGACGAAGAACAAAACGTTGGAGCAGGAAAGACGCAACGTCCCGTGCTGTCGCGGCTGGTAGAGCGGCCGTTTCTACATATCTCTAGAGACGGTCGATCGCTACAATAATCCAGCCATTCCCAGCTGATCTATATGGCAGAGGACCACAAAGGTCTATTTCAACCTGGTCGAATGGTTGCACTGGGCACGGTAACAGCTGCATTGGGTGCAGTAGGACGGCTAGGATCGTGCTTGCGACGTTGGCACTCTGTGCAAGATCACATGTACTTTTGAATGAATGTGCACATGCCACGCCAATAAAACCGAAAACGTAGCCTGGCGTAGGTTTTAAACAAACCAGCGTGAGCACCCTGCAGATCGGCATGAAAAGCAGCACATATGCTGGCACGGAGATGCCTGGGTATGACGAGTACCCATTTGCGGCCGTCAGGGTGGTAGTTGCGGCGATAAAGTATTCTATTACGGATGGCGAAGTGGGAGGCTTGTCGGTGTAGCGTTCGAGATGGCGGATGGGCGAGTGTTTCAGATAGGTAATCCATCAGAGACGCAATTCACGAATCTTTGCGCTGCTCCGCAGCCATGTCATTGGGTCCTGATAGTGATAGTAAGTTGTCTTGGATGGAGACACTCGCAATATCAGTAGAAACGGGCGAACGCGAAAGATCATCGGCATCGGCAAGCTTTGGCCTGAGCGATAAATGACACGGATGTCGTACTCTCGGAGCTGCAAAGCCCATCGTGCCAAGCGTCCGGAGAGATCCTTGAGGAAGCATAACCAGCAGAGCGCGTGGTGATCGGTAACGACGTCGAAAGGGCGGCCACACCGATAAGGCCGAAATTTCATAATGGGCCATATGATTGCTGGGCATTCTTTCTCATTTACCAAATAATTTGCTTCTGTTATTGTAAGAGTGTGGCTCGCGTACGTAACAACATATTTTTGGTAACCAGGCTTTCATTGGGCGAGTATACCGCCAAGACCGACACCCCTAGCATCCGTGTGAATTTTTGTGGGAGCGCTTGAATCAAAATGTCGCAGTATGGGTGGTGATGTAAGCAGTTCACGGAGCTTCGCAAAGGCACTGTCGCAAGCTGGAGACCATGCAGATAGATTGCAGTCTCCCTGAAATAGGTCCGTCAGAGGTGCCATGATCTGGGCGAAATCCCGGACGAAGCGGGGGAAGTATGAGCAAAGCCCAATGAAATTTCGCAGCTCGTTGAGAGACGCGGGCCTCGGGAACTCGCTAACAGCACGTAGCTTAGCGGGGTCAAAGAGAATGCCGTCCTTCGACACGACGTGTCCGAGAATAATCAGCTTGCGTGCTCCAAAGTGAGACTTCTTCAAGTTTAGTTGGAGGCCTGCTGCAGAAAGGCAGTGTAGAACCTGTTCCAAGCGACGAAGGTGCGTAGGAAAATCGGGCGAGAACACCACCACATCTTCTAAGTAGCACAAACACGTGTTCCATTTGAGGCCTTGTAGGATAATGTCCATCATGCGCTCAAATGTTGCCGGCGCATTGCATAGGCCGAATGGCATCACATTAAAATCGTATAAGCCGTCTGGTGTAACAAAGGCAGTTTTTGGTCTATCATCCGGATTCGTGGGCACTTGACAATACAGGTTTTTAGTTTGACGTTTTTGTGGTCCGCTCCGCTCCGGGAGCACCCGCGAAGCCGCAGCGGAGCGGCGGCCGATTTTCCTCTTTTAGTTATTCGTTGCCGGCAGCGAAGCGGACCTTTCGCAGTTGCAGCGCCCTCTGGTCGTTTTCATCGTCGGTAAACAAAATAAAAAACTTTTTTCACGTATACAAAGCAAAACAATAACGTATAAATGATCTTTTCATGAAGTATTTAGATATCTAATTCCACTGTATTAACCGCCTATTTTTTTGGCAAAGAAGCAAGCTCTGACTTGATAGTAGCCGCTTAAAAGCCAGCAAGGTTCCGTTCCAGATCCGTTGCAAGCATTCACTGTGTGTTGTTTGCGCATTTTACGCGTGTGTGGTGGCGGCGTTTTTATTTTTCACCGTTGAAACTGTGTTTTCGCGGCTTGCACTGGGCAGGTGACGGCGAAGCTGCAGCACTCGCGGAAAGCGTGCCGTCTCCGGAGGAAGCCATCTTGAAATGAGCAAAGTTGCTGCACGCACGAGAGAGGGCGCGCGGGTTGTCGCCCTTCCGCTTGCAGAAACGGCAGCGACGCACCACGCTCCGCTTAGGCTGCTCGTAAGCGGACCGTATTCC